AACATCAGATCATATCAGATAAGTAAAAATATGGTTATGAACTAAACAAGTCAGAGTTGTCAATTTGGGTATTCGAGTTACGGTCGGTGAAGTCGGGTCTATTTTAAATTTGAGTCATGCAAAATTATTGTGTCTAAACAAATCAAAATCTGAATCGAGTTTTGTTCAGATCGGATGGGTTGGTTTTTGTCAGAGAAAGGGCTTGATGAACACCACCACGATCCTGGTTAGTAATTGGGCAAATGCTTCCTTTACAGTGTAGAATCGGCCTTTCTGTGACAACATTCGCTTCTTTCTTCGAGAATGCGCAGAGCTTGGGGCAAGATTTACAAGATGACATGCCAGCACGCTCAATTCTTAGTCTAAATAGTAAGCCTTCGGCAATAGATGATGATAGAACTACCTCAATAAGAAAGCGAACTAAGAATATCTTCCCATGAAAAAATTGAAATGGTTCTTGCTTTAGAAAGATTGTAGGGGACCGTCGATCTCTTCCTTCAGGTGGCTCCGCCTTATCTATTCATCTCGAAAACTTACAGAAGCTTGCCAAACAAAGGCTAACACCTCTATGTATAAAGGCCATAAATAAAAGATGGCTTTGGGCCGGTTCGGTTTGGTTCGAGTTTTTGGCTTTGATGCATGGGGTATTTATAGGTTAGATCATGCAAGAATTAAGGTAAGAAATGTAGGAAGAAAAATGGCAAATTTAGTTTAAGGAATTACTTGGAAAGGAGAGCTAAAGAATTAAGGAAAATTTAGTTTTATGGTGATTAAGCAATTAAGACATAAGGTAAGTGTATAGTCATGAAATGTTAAATGGTAAATGGCTTTGCTTGGGGAATAATCAAGAAAGATTTTAAGGCAAATAAATAAGATGATCAAATCTTTATGAGGTGGGATATAAGAATTAGGGAAATAATATAAATTAAGGAAGATGATTAAAATACAAAATTACCAAAATAATTTGCTCAAAATTACCACATGGTGGCCGAAAATATTGAGCCTTATATGCTCATATTTTCGGACCTCCTCATTGGTTTTTAGGCATTATTTTGCTAGATTTTAAGGAATAAAAATGATTGTGTAAATAATATATTTTGTACAAAATAATTAATTAGAAAAAACCAATTAATCACTAATTAATTTAACTAAGAAAATCAGATTTTCTACACTTAGAAAATCCAAAATCCTAGCTAATTAATTAAGAGAATATAGTTTTTGCTTATTTAAAATATCCAATATATATATATATATTATCCTAAAATCCAAAAATAATAATTAAGTTTTAAAATGTTTTTGGCGCCAAAATTCATAATATCATTTTGACTCCAAAATTTAAATAGTAAAATAAATTACTAAAATACCCTTTTTAAAAAATATTAATTAATTAATTAATTAGAATATACGTCTCAAAAATATGGGATATTACATGTTGGGCCGAAATTGATATTGCAACACCATGGGCCAAGCATGGCATGAGCCCATGGGCCTTGTGGGCGTGTTGGACCAATCCATGGGCTATCCTCTACAAACCTATTAATTCTTATGTATATGACAGTACAATTAACTATGTATGCAATGAAGAATAAATTATGGCACTTATCATGAAACTCTCTTTGTTATTCCTTTTGCTTTGGAAGCTTATAAGTATGACATGCTACAAATCAACAACTAGTAGTTAATTCAATGTTTTCTTTTATCGGTGCTAGTCTATTTTGGTGTAACTTGGGCCATGTTTAGCTCACCTTATCTTTACTTATTTTAGAAAAAATAAATTCAAATCAGATCTAATCAGAAAAAATAAGTTTAGATTAGATCATCGTTTTATGTGTGGTTTCTTTATCGCTAAATATCTCTAATTTCAAAATAAATGATGCGAGAGCAAAGTGGATACTCAAGATTAATTATTTTTGGGTTTGGATTATTTTACAGATTAAGATTTTTTTTTTTTTAGAAAATTTTACAGATTTTAAGATTAAAACTAGTATTTCATCCAATTTGGTTCGTCAAATTTTGGATCCACATGTGAGTATATAATTAAATTAGGATTATTAGAGTTTTAGAATTATTTGTTAGTTATAATTTTATGTTAAGATATTGTAGATCTTATTGTGATCTTTGTTTCACAACTAAGATAGAATAATTGGTTTTATAATCTTATTTTTATTACTTAGGAATATTCTATATTTAATAACTTCGTCTATATAAAGACGTTAGGTTATAACTTTATTTGACACAGAGAGATTTGTCTTGGAAATTAATCCTTTGAGCGTTGCTTGTTTGATTGTGATCAACTTCTAGTTGCGACTAGGAAGATACCTTCTATTCTTGCGAGAATTAGAGTACCATCCCTTTAATTTCATCCATAATAACCATTTTTTCATCACTATAAGTTACAAAGCCATTAAACCATAATCGTGGTTGCATTCTACACTAAATCGGATCAAAATATGAAAATTACATATTAATAAAATATATATTAATACGAATCTAACAAGAACCCACTTTATATATTTCTTCTCTATAAATTATTGTACAAGGTCAAACTTTAGTTAAATCAGATTTGATTATACTAAATCAAATCAAATAAGATCAAACTAGATCGGATAAGGCAAAATAAGATGAATCAAACAAGCCCTTAGAGCACCCACAATGGTGGGCATTATTTTAGCTCATGGGCATTTTGGTGGGCAAGCATGTGAATTTATGGGTTACAATGGTGGGCTAAGGATAAGATGCCCATGGGCATGTCTTAAAATGCCCAAGAGTTGGGCATAAATGCAAGTGAACAGTGCTACGGTGGGCCCCACATATTGCTGAGAGAATTAAAAAAATTTCAGTGGACAAGGCAACTAAACGCACCGTTTAATGGTGCATGGAAGAAGAGCCTTGATCATAATGCAGCGTTTTGACCTGCGGTTTTTGAAAAAAAAAAAAAAAAAAGCTGACGTCAGTCAATGAACGAATGGTGGAGTTGCCAACGGTATAATTTTTGTAATGTAATTTCTGAAATAAATATTTATTAAAAAAATATTTATTTAATTGGAGTAATATTGTTAAAATATAAATGAAATTAATAAATAAAGAAGTGTTGTGTAGGAGAGAGAAAGTAATGGTGGGGTATTGAAAAAGTAAGAGAGAGAGTGGTGGGCAAGCATTATTTTTGCTCACCATTGGGAGAGAAATTGTGAAAAAAAATTGCCCATGAGCAAAACTGATTTGTTTAGAGAGAAAGTGGGTAGAGAGATATTGGGCAAGCATTATTTTTGCCCACCATTGAAAGTGGTCTTAGTGTCTGTCTTATACTTCGTACATTATAATGTGTTGTCTAGTTTTACTATATTTTTCATGTTTTAGCTTTTGTTCTACTGCGTGTCATTCTTTCTTTCTACTCCCTCTGTCCCTTTATTTTTGCTCCATTGCCATTTTTTGAGTCAAACTTTGAAAATTTTGACCATAATTTACCGTTAATTTATAAAAGATAATACAGTCATGAATGGTCTTGTTAGATTCGTCTCATTGTATATTTTATTAATATCATGTTTTTATAATTTTTACGTATATGGAAATAAAGATATAGACGTTTTAAGACGCGTCTTGAATACTGCGCACAATCAAATGGGGCAAAAAATAGGGACAGAGGGAGTAGTAGTTTGTGTATGTCCATCTTATAATATATCTGTTCTTCTGTTAAAAATATCTGATCAGTTAATAAACTTTTAAATAGAAATAAATTTGTCTTTTTCAAAAAAAAAAAAAAAAAAAAAGATTTGTCAAACTTGTAAACAATTACTCATCTAATTAACTTAGAAATAGATTTGTCAAACTTGTAAACAATCCACTCATCTCATTAACAATTAACAATTACAATAATGTGTATAGTGTATTATTTCACCAATATTAAAAAAAAAAAAAGATAAAAAAAAAATAAAAAAAAATAAAAACTAGAAATAATATGTATGCTAAGTTGCAAGTTCAAAAATCTCCCTCCTTTAAATGTAATACCCATGTGGCCATGTGGCTCGGGCCCATTTGTCTCAAAATTATGATCCAAACAAGTCTTTTACGGAGTAATAAACAAACAGAGTACATAGGTATTAGATTTAGGAAATAACTCTATTAACAATTTTATTTATTTATTTATTTATTTTATTATTATTTTTTTAAATAATGATGATTAACATTGCAAAAGAATGAGCCTTGAATTTGGACACTAATTAGAAGGAGATTAATATACTGACAATTATATTTATTTATTTTTTATTATTTTTTTGGAAGATATAGATTGACATATATCATTTAGTTGTCAATACAAGCTGTAAAAGGTAAATTGATAGTATAAGACTTGGTGCATTTACGTATAGTACTACACAGTATGACTAGATACTGTGGAATAATGGCAAAAATCAAGAAATTAGTTCAGATTATTTTCTTATTTGAATTTCTCCTGATCTTTAGTTATCAATCTTTACGGTATAAAGTTAAAAAGATAGAACTTAAAAAAAAAATGAAAGTTATAAAGATAAAGGTGAACATTACTTTTCTACCAATAATAAGTTTCCTTTTACCGAACATAATTACACGATAATATCTTTTCATAATATATGGAGAAGTTTTTTTTTTTTTTTTTTTTTTCCTTTTTTTTTAAAAGAATGGAGAATATATACATTAATGCATACTATATTCGTATTTGTAAGGCTCCGTTCACTTCATCTTATTTTGGTGAAGTGAATAGGCCTTACTGCTTTACATACACATTTTGAAATTGGCAAAAGTGAACGAGCATCCGGGGCGTTAGATAAGATTACTAATGTGGAAATATTATAGTAAAATTAACATAATTACACCGATCGACGCGTGATTTTGTCCTACATTCCGAACTTAATATTATTTTAAGTAATATATTAATTCCTTATCTAACGCCCCAGAGCGCTTGTTAGCAAGATCCAATGAAATTTCCCGGCTATAAATAGCATCAATCCTTTTCTCTTTATATCATATCATTTGCCAAAAAGCGTGCAAATAGAGCAAAGTAAAAATGCTAGCAATACACTCCCCAGTTTTATTGTTCACATTTATTTCATTTATTCTTGTTCATTCTCAATTAAAATGGGTAGTTGAAGCGCAAGTAATTCCTCCAAATTTCGACGGATTTGTGCATGGAAATCCAAGGAAATTCAACCCAAAAAGAATTCTAATTGAAGCTTTCTTTGATCCACTTTGCCCTGATACTCGAGACTCCTGGCCACCTCTCAAACATGCCCTTCACCATTATGGCTCCAAAGTTTCGCTTGTTGTTCATCCTTTTCCCCTTCCGTATGTCTCTAAATTATTTCTACTTTATTAGTCTTTGCTTTTATTTTTCGTGTTTATTATTTACTTCCTCTATTTCATATTACAATATCTTTATGAGGTTTCTATGATAAAGGTCTTATACGTAATAAATTCGATTGATAAGGCTTACAAGTTCAAATATTTATTGTTATGATTTATTTAAAAAGTTGATAAACTGATTATAGATAATATTTTCATATTGCATATCCTAAGTTTGAATTTATTTAGAGATTGATAGGACTTTCAATTGTTGTAATTAATGTTATCAAAAATATGCTTTGGAGACCATGTAAGATTAAAAGTGGATTGTTTGTTCATATACTTAGCTTGTTGATACACTCCAAATTAAATTGACTGAATTTTTTTCTTATAAATGTATTTTAGGTACCATGACAACGCGTATGTTTCATCTCGGGCAATTCATGTAGTTAATGAATTGAACAAATCTGCGACATTTCCCTTATGGGAAAGTTTCTTCAAGGGTCAGGTATATTCTTCATTCATGCTGGCGCTGTGTGTAATATTTGCCACAATGGAGAGTGTTGTAGACAGGATTTGTTCTCCTCGAATACCAACTTTTGAGACTTTAACCAACTAAGCTAACTGACCATCAGCTGGTTGTGTTTTTTTGAATTGGTTACATTAGGGTATGCTTTGATACTCTGCATCTCTATACATTTATCAGGTTTTTATTTCATGAATACTTTTGCGGATTTGTGCATTGTACATGTGTAAATTTTGTATACTTTAATATGGCATATCTTCTATCATTCTATATTATTAGGCTGTAAATATTAGTCCAAGATACTCTCAAACTCTGTCATAGCTTGTAGCTGTATTTTTTGCTCGTATATTATGCAATGTTACAACTCGTTTATGTCATGCCTATAAGTTAGGCTATAAAAGATACAAATATATACCAAATATATTAGGAGTATATTTGACTAATTGATTTAATGAATTAAGCCTTTTTCTGAGTTATGTACTTAACTACTTATGTGGTAGAAGATATATACCAGATATATCAAGGTTGTATGAGTAATTGGATTACCAAATATACCAAATCTTTCGCATCATTTTCTTCCTATTATCAGCTATTTATCATGTAATCTTTGGTTTCAAGACTCGGTGACATTTGACACTAAATACGTACATGGACATCTTTATTATTTCTGATACATACTGGAAATGTGCTTTTAGGTTTGAGATAATATACATAATTAAATTGCTGTTTCCTGCTAACTTAGACTTCCTATATGCTATATGTAATGCAGGAACAATTTTACAACGAGAAGACTAGTAATTGGACAAGAAATGAGGCCGTTGATCACATAGTAGACTTTGTAACAAAAACCGTAGGTGAAGAATACAAGTCTGATTTAATATCTGGCCTCAATGATCCGAATACTGATCAAAAAACAAGAGTTTCATTCAAGGTACATAAACCAGTATAGTTCCCATTAGAAATTTTCTAGTTGATCATAAATTCATAATAACTGTCTAAGAGTTTGTTTTCTATATAACGCTCATTGTAACTCTCTATGCTTGCTGGCAGTATGCTAGTTCACGGGGCGTGATTGGAACACCATCTTTCATTGTCAATGGCTTTGCTTTACCTGATGAAGGCTCTGCTATAGACTACAAAGCATGGAGGAAGGTTATTGATCCTCTGGTTAGTTCAAAGAAGTAAGATGAATGAGTGAACTAGGAATCTTAGTATTTCAAGTATCTAATTCGTACGAGTATATGTTTGTGTAGATTATCTTCTTTCTATTAGCTATAGCAATGTGGCGGAGGAACTATGTAAATAAAGACCACTGGTCTTTGCACTAGGACATTTCACATTTAAAATTTGAAAAAAGTGCGTTATTTATCCTTTATCTTCTCTATCGTGGGACAATTCTTGTGATTGATTTATAGTCTCAACCAACAAATATGAAGTACATAATTGATCTAAAAGGATTGGATTAAAAAAACGTGTTAAGAATTTTAGAATTAAAATCCTTGACGTACGAGGAGAAGGTTATATGAAGTATTTTTTAAGATGATTAGAACTACAAAAGAACAATCACGAATATGGTCAAAGATTGGTTTTTTTTTTTTTTTTTTTACAACAGCAACTAAACTAGAACTACAACTGAAAACTTAATAAGTTACTTCTACACAAATTCGCAATATTATGCGCTTTGGTTATCTGGTCCCTGCTAACTTTCCAAATCGTGCAAATGTTTAACGTCGCACCTTCCTTCAATAACTCCCCGATTGTCCATAGTAGTCTTACTTCCCTCCTTTTTGGGAGTAGATTGATTAGAGCTACTGAATCTGAAAAAATTGTAATACGTTGATAGCCCTTCGATCTTGCCCATTTGATTGCTTTTAAGCAAGCTATTATTTCTGCATGAAGAGCTGAAAGGGCCTTACCAAAATCACCTCCTCCATCCATAAAGTGTATGGCATCAAAGGAGTAAGCCCAACCAAAACCTGCATTTTCAGTTTCTTTTTTCGATGAGCCATCAACCATAATAATTGCCTCAATACTTCTATTTAAAGGAGTACTAGAGAGATCCACCTCACTTCCAATGTTATACCTGATAAAACCTGGTGGTGGTTCTCCATTACTAAAGATTAATGTTTGTATCAAGATGGAAAAAAAACATATTGATGCATGTTTAAATCATTTGCTTATTGATGTGCTACTAGTCTCTTTCTTTTCCACATGTCTAATGGAGACTAAGAAAAGTTGTAGATAAATAGGGAATTGAAGTTTATATGGGTATAAGATTATTAGACTCTATAAATGAACAATCATGAATATGGTTAGGATTGTATGATTTGTATCCATATGCAAAATAAGTAATTTTAAGCAATTGATTTTTCTTTAACTGTCCATATTATATAATGTAATTTTCAGTATATAATAATTGACCCTTTTGAGATTTACGGAATAATATATTAATCAAATTAGGTGACACATAAATTCAATTATATATATATATATATATATATATATATATATATATATATATATATATACACACACGGAAAGAATAATAGAATTTAACATAACTTTACAATCATAACTTTAACTATTTTGCAAATTTGGCATAACTCACACTACACCGCATAACTCACACTCCACTGCTTCAAGCTTGACACAATCAATGATTTTCGATGTGTTCGCATCTTTCCAAATAGAGACCTTCACAATTTGCGCTGAATTTTTAATTTTATCCTAGAGTTTACAATTAGTTGTAACTAGTTTTCATTACAAAGTCTAGTTAGCTAAGTCTATATATAGTCTGATTATCGTGTTTAATTATACCAGTGGATTAAAGTGACTCCTTGTCCCAAAAAACAAAAAAAAAAAAAAATTTACATCCGCTCACTCCACTCACCAAGTCATATGTTAAGTTTTTCAATTTTCTTACCTACATTATGTGCCCTTTAAGCCAAAATTTATCTAGACCAATGAATTTTACTCAATAACGTCAATATTTTTTGAAGTGTGTAATTTCAAATGACTTTATGAATCATAATAGTTAGAGTAGTGAGATTGAGAAATAATTTAGTTGATTAGAGCTTTTCTCTCAATTTTAGGGGTTCGTATCGAATTAACTAGATAGTTTAATAAAATCAACATAACCTAAATTAGATATTCGAATAAGAATTATATGGATCGGATTTTTTTTTTTTTTAAACCAAGTATTTAGATGAAACTCACCATGACTTTTTAGATGAAATGTATCATGAGTTCATAACTCATTGGCAGAATGATAAATTCGGTTGTTGGTCGATCACCCTAAGGCCAAACAATATTTCTACCTAAACCAACCTAAGACAAGTTTAGGGTAAGTAAAGGATCGTATCCACAGGGGATGGGTATGAGTGCACCAAGATTATGAAACGGTTGTAAGCTAATTGGGTCACAAGATTAGGGTTTTGATTACTTAACTACTATGGAGACACACACTAGGGGGAAATGGGAATCGACACCAACCAAATCAATAGATCAATACAATAGGTAAACATGAACACAAATTGGGTGATAGAAAGAACACTCAACATTGTCTTCTTTCGAAGCCACAACACTAAGCATGCCTAAACCAAACTCAACTAACAAGATAGGCTAACCAAGTCTTAATGATAGATAGAAAGTAGACTACTAACTCGGGTTTGTCGGTCTTTTGATCGGTTCAAGAAAGCATTAAGGCAAAAGTAATTGGGGATTTCTCACCTAATTATTGCAACTAAGACTATTACATTATCCAAACAAGGAACCGTAATCAAGAGGAATATAGCATAATCATACATGAGAAGGATTACAACTAGACCTCATCTTTCAATGCACGCATAGAAGTGAATACATGTGCAATAAGTGGCCATCCAATTACACATGCAATTAGCCAATTCTTTAACAATCAATCATCAACCCAAAGTGAACATGCAAGCACAAATATTAATCAACCCATGGCTTGGTTGGGTCTTTACCCAACCCCTAGCTAAGAATCTACTCACTAAATATGGTGTTCAACATCCTAACAATTCAACAATATCTAAGTTCAACATTAATCTAACAAGTTGAGAGAAGTAGTAAGAACAAAGTAGATTGAACATGCAACAACAATTAAGCAAGGTTAAGAGAGAAATTAGCCCTTCAAAGTAAATAAAAAACAAAAATAAAAGGAGATAAGGAAAGAGATTACTTAAGATGCTTCAAAGTTGAGAGGAATTGTTGAAATTAAGATCACAAACTTCAATTAAACTATTATAATAATTGAGTTATGAGAAGATCTAAGCTAATTATGAGAGTTCTAAGAAACTAAGAGTCTAAGAAGTCTAAAGGGGAAGAAGATCCTTACAAATGAAGCCAAGGGTGGTATTTATACCCTCGAAAATTACATAGAAAAATCCGTCAAGAAAACCGTGTTTGCATGTAGGAGCGCCCACTTCTACACATAGGAGCACCCGCTCCCGGGTCTGGTAGAATGTTGAAGATCAGGGAGGAGCGCCCTCTCCTCCATAGGTGCGCGCCCACTCCTGTTTAAATTCTTCGATGGCAGGAAGTCAGCATGAAGGAGGAGTGCCCTCTCCTTGGGGGATGCATGCCCGCTCCTGTTGTTCATTGCTTGCACTAAAGTTCTTCATTGCCTTGGCTAAGTCCTCAATTTGTCTTTGCACTTACAAACACGAGAAAACACACGAGAGGGACAAAAATACCAAAAGCTACAATTATGTACTAAAAGGAGTTAAAAAGGGATTAAAGAGGGGAAATAACTACAAAATCGTGTTAAAAAGACCATGATAAGTCGACACATAAAAAACTTATCACTCATAAGTCATAACACAAGGCTTTCTTTCTTTTCTGTAGGATAGTTACAATTTCTTACGAATGATACGTGCTTCTTGTCACATTTTTGATTCTTACGCATGCATTTGTATACTTGTCACCTTCGTTCTATGTTTCGTGACAGCGGGTCCTCTTAATTTTTTTGGTAAACTAGCAAATAATTCAAGTGTGCAACCTCGCAAAGGTTGTCTCGTCATGCTTATGTTGGCTTTATACCAAATTCTAAATGTTCACATCCTGCGGCAGTAAGGCCTATCGAAGTGCTTAGCTTCTCGAGCTTCTCATGCCATGTTAGGCACTCGGGCTTGTAGCAGTCTTTCTAGGTCATACCGTTTTCGTGTCATGTCAAACTGGTCTGAGCATGGCCAATTGTACTTCCACGCCATTTTTCTTTTCTCGGTATGACCCTATAAATCAATAACATAATACTAAAATAGACACCAGGAATGACACGTGTCATTTCCTGGTGCTGTTATTTTCCCTCCAAATCATTTTTGTTTTACATTTTTGTTTACTTGATCAAATCGTTAATGAATATTTAAAATATTATAATAATATTTCCTTCCCATTTATCCATAATCACAATTTTTTCTATGCAGCCTTGTTATACCGTGCGGCAGGGGTTGCTCGAGTTACTCGGTCAGGGGTTACTCGAGTTGCCGAGCTTACTCGAGTTTCTCAGTCAGGGATTACTCGAGTTACTCGGTCAGGGGTTACTCGAGTTGTTGGGGTTACTCAAGTTACTCGGTCAGGGGTTACTTGAGTTATTCCTGACCGAGTAACCCCTCGAGTAATCCATGACCGAACCCCTAGAGTAAACCCTGACCGAGTAACCCCTCAAGTAACCCCTGACTGAGTAACCCCTCAAGTAACCCCTGATCGAGTAACCTCTGACCGAACTTCTTAAGTAACCCTTGACCGAACTCCTTAAATAACTCCTACTCGAGTAACCCATGACCGAGTAACCCCTCGAGTAACCCTAACCGAGTAACTCGAGTAACCCTTGACTGAGTAACTCGAGTAACTCCTGACCGAGTAACCCCTCAAGTAACCCTTGATTGAGTGAACCCCTCGAGTAACCCCTGTCCGAACCCCTCAAGTAACCCCTGACCGAGTAACTAGAGTAACCCCTGACTAAATAACTCGGGTAACCCCCTAACAAAATACTCGGGTAACCCTTGCCACACGGTGTGGCCTGCTGCACCAAAAAGTTGTTGATCCATAATATATTTACCATATATATTCAACTAAAATATAATTTCAAATTCTATTTTTTTATTTAAAATATAAAATATATTTTTCTTTTGGTAAATTATTACTCTGTGTGATTGAATTAACAATTCATTATAAATTTTTGTAATAAAATCCGTGCGTTGTACGGGATTTTAGCTAGTCTAATATATAAAATTGTCTGTTCAATGTCAAGCGGAAGTAACATGCTTTAAGACATCGGGTTAAAGCCTTTAAACCGCCGTCTACAACCTAAACTACTTTAACCAAAATCCAACATCACCTAACTTGTATATGACTCGACATGAGCCTAAATTGTACCTGAGCAAGCATATATCTAACTTAATTTGGCTTGATATGATAGTGGTGTTTCAATGAAGAAGTAAATATGTAAAATCGCACCAATCTTAAAACATGCTAATAAAGTATAAATTTAAAATTTTAAGTTCAAAGTGTAGGTTCATTAAATTTTTTAATTTATCATAGTAAGATTTATATTACAAGTAAGATTTATACGGTATTAAAAGTATTCGCTAAATTAGATGATTCAATACGGATCATGTTGAATCGGGTCAACTTTTGACAAGAAATACATATGATGGGGGTCTGTGATTGTTGCAAATGACGCGTGCTTCTTTGTATTGCGCACTTGTGCGCATCTACTGATCATTCATACGCATGCATCTGTGTACTCTACTTGTTACCTTCCACGCCTTTTGTTTTTCAATTTTCTCGACCATAAATAGCTCCCAACTCGAACCTGGACATAATATTGTCAAACAGATTAGAGAAACAAAATGCGGGCCCAATTCACAATTCTTTCCTTTCTTCTTCTTAATCTGATTATTACAATTATTCATCCCCAATCAAAATGGGTAGTTCATGCTCAATTAATTCCTGCAAAATTCGATGGATTTGTGTATGGAAATCCCAAGAAATTTAACCCAGAAAGTATTTTACTTGAAGCTTTCTTTGACCCTGTTTGCCCAGATTCTCGTGATGCTTGGCCTCCTCTCAAACAAGCTCTTCATTTTTATGGCTACAAAATCTCCCTTGTTGTTCATCCTTTCCCTCTTCCGTAAGTCCACCCTTTCAAATTTTTTAGTGTTGCTTCCATTTTAGTGTTTATCAATGACATTATTTTTCTGGGTATTTCTTTGATTTTCAATTTGATTGGCTTTGCTCGTGTTTTGTATGATGCGTCACACACTCAATTGATGTCGGGTTCTTATTACCTTTATTGGGAATTGATTGTAAGATTAAGTAAATGGGTTTAATTTAAAATTTATAGACCAATAATCCCAATTACTGATTTTGAAGTTGGATTGATTAAAATCAAAGCAGTACATTGTAAGAGAACAATCTTGGTTTATTATCTTACTAGAAGGAGGTTGGAGTAGATGAGTCAATGCATTGATTTCTGACTAAATTTTCACAACTACAATATTGTCGCCATATTCAAGTCTATATCATGCCTTAAATGGGATTTGAAAAGGGCTTGAATCGCACAAAATTGACTCCCTAATTAGTCTAGGAGGATTAGAAACGGGATATCTATCCTACAATCGAGTGTAAAATTACGGGTTTAAGATGGACATTGTATACTAAATAGTATAAGAGATTTGATTTCCAGATGACTTAAAAGAACATTATCTTAAAGAACACGAAGTGTTGACATGAAATCTTTGATAAGGAAAAACAATAATTCATGTTTACTTTAGGAAATTAGTATTCTTTAGAAAAAAAAAAAAAACAAACTTGGTAGTTAGTACCATACTACCATGATTATGAGCATATGTATCTTAAATTAAGAAATGTATTTTGATCAATTTATAGACAAATTAGGTTCTATAGCTCAAAACCGTTTTTATTGGTGTAGGGGTTTTGTCAGAACAAAATCTATTGGAAATCCTTCGCCTTCATAATGTCTTATTTGTGATGTTGATGCTATTGTGATTGTATTTCAGGTACCATGATAATGCGTTTGCAACGTCTCGAGCATTGCATATTGATAATGAATTGAACAGTTCTGCAACATACCCCTTATGGGAAAGTTTCTTTAAAGATCAGGTAAAATGCTCTTGATGGTTTTTCTCTTCATATGTTTCTTGAATTCAGTCATATATGTTGTTTCTAGTATAAATTTCGTGATTAGCCCAGCTCTCTGCCTGAATTGTAACTGTTTCTGCATTGCTGTTTTGGAATTGTTTTATTATGTGTTCTTCAATTTGAGATTTTATGAACGACGTGTCCTCTCTGGAAAATTGGAATTGTTTGTTGTGGTCTATTTGCGATTTGGTGCAACACTGTAACCATTTGAGGTTGCAAGATTGATGGATCTGTCATTAATTATCAGTGTTAGGCTCATTGGCTGTGCAATATCTGGTCCCATACTTAATGACTTGATTGAAAGTTCATGTCTTTTCCTACCATGGCTGGAATTTAGCCCCTGCTTGATTCTGTTGTGAAGTTGAAGCTTAGAGGATTTTAGTAGAATGTAGTATGTACAACTAAAAGACCAAATCTGCTTGAAACAACTAATGTGAATTTAATTTGTTATCTGTAAGATGTAGTATTGTGCTGCTACATGTGATTTATGAGCTATGATCCCTGCCCCCTCCCTCCCCTCCTCCAAATTGATGACACAGCTATAGGAGTTCAAGATAAGTCATGTGGGTATCTAGTTTAATAGTAGCAACAAAATATATTTGTCTGTGAAAGTTTCTGAAACCAGAAATTTCTGAGAGTAGTTGTGCAAGATTTTCAACTATAGTTTAGCTGTTACTCCCTTCTATAAAATTAGAAGTATTGATTAATTAAATCACGTGTTTAACAGAAGGTGGTCTTTAAATACACTACTAGTTTGTTACTTTGTTACCAACTGATTTATTGAACCAAGTCATCACTCAAGTATGGTGTTTTGTTATATTTGCAATTTGGTTTACTGTTGGGTTACATGGCCTCCCTTCTTTTTAGATTTCAACGAGTAGCCCGGGCGTTGCCCCGGGTTGCTACTTTTGTAATTGTGCAATTGGGGTAACTTTTTTTTCTTAGAATTTTGAAATCTGAAATCGACATTATTGAATGTGTTTTTTTTTTTTTTTTTTTTTTTTTGATAATTAAATCATGTGGTTTACAATATGTACATTTCTTTTTCATATTTATAACATGCTTGATAATGGGCTAAGATGGTTAAATAGTCAACTTTGTTATAAGTGGTTGGGTGTTCGAATCCCCTTAATCTTATATTTTTATATGAAGTAAGGTTTATTCAGTGATGGTGTGACATAAAGACATGGTGGGTAGGTGATGTGGCGTCATGAAGTGTTCGTGCAGTGACATGGCGTAATTTAAAAGGATCTATGTGGCACATGGACGTTTTTATAAACGCCTTCTAATATATTAGTATAGATATAGATGTCTGTGTCTTACGTATAGTTTTCTTCCTTCTAATTATCAAATGAGCTATAGCTACAACTGTATGCTATATATAATTGAAGATCTTTATTTTGAACACATACTGGACATGTGTTTGGAGGTTTGTGATGTAGAGAATCAATATGTACTATGATTTGTTGTTTCTTGCTAATTAAGCCTTGCTATATGTGTGATACAGAATAAGTTCTACAACAAACAGACTAGCAGCATGACGAGAAATGAGATTTTAGATCACATTGTCAACTTTGTAACAAAATCTGTAGGTCATGCCTATTACTCTGATGTAAAATCTGGCTTCAACGACAGGAAGACTGATCTCAAAACAAGGGTTTCATTCAAGGTATATAAGCCATCAAAGTTCCTTAAACTCCTACTCTCTTGTTTAAAATCGCTCTAATCCCTGTCAAAAGTTTGCTTTCTATTGTGCTCATCGCATCTGTACTGTACATGCAGTATGGTTGTTCAAGAGGTGTCTTTGGAACTCCGGCTTTTTATGTGAATGGCTTTCCTTTGCCTGATGTCGGCTCTCCAATAGATTACAATGGATGGAGGAAGATCATTGATCCACTTGTTACTTCAAAGAGGGAATATGAATATATGTAGTACGAATCTTAGTACCTCAGCATTAATGAGGATGACTGGATGGGGAACTTCTCGAAATATGTAGATCAATTCCCTATTGCAGATTGTCATGTTTGAAGTTAGTTTCCAACTTGAATGTTTGTTGTACCTGTTATATTCTAGCAAACTTGAATACGGAGTATATAATCAACAGAGTACATAAGGATTAAAGTGCCAACTCTCAAGTATATCAAATGACTAGATAGAATAATTGATTGTCCATTTAAGGGCCAAATCTGGGTCGACTGCTTGGAACTTTTTGCAAATGAATTGTGAATACTTGTTCTTTATGTAGGACATCTAAAGTTGGAGCATCACATAGCCGAATTAGACAACTAGGAACTCGAGTTTACTCAATGGGAGGATTCAATTAAGTTCTTTTGTGTTTAAGTTGTACTTAGGCCTTGTTCTTTTGAGCTTCTAGGCAGAGCAGAAGAGATTTTAGTAGAGCAGGGCAGAGCATATTTCATTATTATTATTATTATTATTATTATTATTATTATTATTATTATTATTATTATTATTATTATTATTATTATTATCGCATTATTATCATTTATTATATATATTTTTATATATAAAAGACAGATAATGTCATACAACCTACAAAAAATTAGTGGGAAGCCGAGATACAATCTGGGCCCCCACTCCTCTAGCTATTGCAAATCCTATCCTAGTGAAGATATGAGTTGCAGCACGTGTCCCAATGTCTTGAGTCTTCGAGAATTTCTGGATCCGCTTCAGCAATGCAACCACCCCTTTATCTAATTCCCCAAGTGAAGAGAAAGAGAAAGGAAGGAAGTCATATCCAATTGCCTAACAACTGGATTCGTACTTGACCCGCTTCCGATGAGTCGCATCAGCCACAACCCGCCCAAGAACAAAGTCAGATAACCCAGACTGTGTCAAAGGAGAAGACCTTGTCAAGTCAACACAGACATCGCAACCCCAATCCCAGGAATAAAGTAACACATCTACAGGTCTGAGGCCCCGTCGTTCCCTCCAGACATCCCAATGTCAACCTCTTTTCTAGCTGAAATCCCATATCGATAACAAACATTAGCAAGGGTATCCCGAACAACATTATGCCGATGTTTAATACCCACCATACCAGCACATGACACCGTGTGATCACCGAAAATATCCCTGGTGAAAACCCTTGAACAAGCAGAGCACGGCGTCGAGGCAGAGAACAATGGAACACCCAAGCCATAGCACGACACATATCGGTAAGTCTTTGCGTTCATTGTCTGACCCAACCCTGAAATAGGAACCACCCGAAGCCAAGCGAAGGTGTGATCTCCCTGCTGTGATTTCCACAATGCTAATTGTCGTGGAGATAAAGAGAAGGTGGCTTCCGTAGAAGCGGTAACCTTTGTGAAGTATATATTTGCCAATTTCTTCATGAGTTTAGGGGCACCGACCTCACTAGGATTACTCAAAATGTCAGACTCAATCGTTCCATTAAACAGACTCAACGCATCCTCAAAGGCTCGACCAAGGCCAACAACACCAGCATGCCGTAGAAGCTTTGTCTGCAACCCAGCAGACTGTAACCGAGAGGCAAGAAAAGCATAATGACGAACATCACCTGCGGAATAAACACCAAGTCTGCCAAACACAAATGGTAAGGTGGCAAGCCGCCACTGCCAATCGCCAAACCCAGGCCCCGAAGAAGTAACGTTACGTTCCAGAGAAGATCGAAGAGCCTCGTCGAAAGTGCGCTGAGCCACCTCAAAAGTACTAGGAGGACAAGTACGTAAAGCAAAGTAGAGTTTAAAAACTTCGGTACATGCCCTAAGTAACAACAGCTCACACCGAGGATCATCAAGCATAGCTACCTTATCCATAAGCGCAATGGTCTTGGTCACCCTCTCCATCGCAAGCTCACCACTAAAACCGGAATCGAAACTAGCGGGACCACCAAGCAACTTAACACCATGCAAGGTCGAGCAATATTAGGTGGAAAGACACCCACAAGCTTGCTTCGAGGGTCTTCTGTAGGCCAGAAAATTTCAGTTTTTTCCACGTTAAGATATAACCCAAAACGAGACCCTTCCTTCATAATCAACTGCAGAACCTTCCCCACCACCTACGTGTCACCAATAACAGTGCCATCATCCAAATACCAGGCCTGAAGACATACATCAAAAGTGTCTCTGATTTTATTATTATTATTATTATTTTATTTTTTTAAAGATTTTTTTACTCTTCTTATAACATTAGAAAATGTGTTAAATGATATAAAATATTAATTATTATCATTAAATATTAGTTATTATTATCAATTAATATTGTATATTAATTATTATTATTTATAAAATATTAATTATTATTATTATTATTAAATATTAATTATTATTAATTATTTATAAATATTAGTTATTATTATTAAATGTTAAATATTAATAATTATTTTTAAGCAGAGCAGAGCAGAGCAGAGTAGAGCAGGGCAAAGCAGAGCAGAATAGAACAGAACAACTCAAAAGAACAGGGCCTAAGGCACTCAAGTGAAAAGGATTTTTAAACAACTCTTTGAAATTTCCCCTAAAATTTTGCTACAAGAACATACTATGTTTTGTTCGTAGATCGTAGTTGGTATTCATCTGAAGGATTCAGTAAATGATCAACTAACTTAGTTGGTTAAAGCTAGTTGGTTAAAGTCTCGAGGTTTGTTACTCAATACTTAAGATTAAATCTCGTCTACAATGTTTGCTTTATTGGCTCTCTCTACACTCAAAATAAAAAATAAAAAAATAAAAAAAAATCTAAAGTAATAAACACAATGAAATAACATCAATTATTCATCTAATGTGGCATACATAATGAAATTAAATCAATTACAAGTAATAAAAATGTGTTTAATTAACATGGAATACGGTACCATAAGTGATTAACCTATGAAGCACAAAAAGTTGCGATGAAATTAAGGACTTTTGTTTCAATAATTGAGACTGATGGCATATACTAGAATCTAAATGTAACTAAAATTATTAAAACTGATTGAATGATTGAATCTAGTTTGAACTTTTTATAAACTCTTTAACTATTGCTATTATTTGTAAAGTCATTACTAATAACTACAAAGTATAATTTAAGAACTATATATAAATAAATTAACTAGTAGTAAGAAAATTATTATGTAGTTCATCCATTACTATTACATAACAATTATGTACATAATACTAAGATACTATATTGCACTATAATTATATTAGATTTGATTGGAACTTAAGCTTGCTAATTGTCATATTAGCTTGTCATGCCACATAGAATTTCAAGCTAACCCTCTTTATACTTTTATAGCTAGTTTTTCCCCTATAGTTAGAAAGTATGGGTAGCTTATTAATTAAATAAGCTTTGATATCTCCCTGAAAAAAAAAAACACTTTGATATCTTAAATAGCTTTTAGATTCCATTTTGTTAATATTTCAAATTTCTAAACTTTTTCTCAAGCAAAATAAACTAGCTTGTCACTAATTTTATTTTTAAGCCCCAATAGTCAAGTTAGTAAGGGACTTTTGAAGCAAGCAAGTCCCTATTGACTAGGATTGTTCAGTTTCGGATATTGGATTGATTCAAAATTCAGATATTCGAATATTACGGATCGGAGAAATTAAGATTCAAACCAATTCGAAATTTTCAAATATCTAGAATTTCGAGTTGGATCATCGAATTTTCGGATAAGATATTTTTGAACACCCGTACTATGTACAATTATTGTAGTTGCTCTTATTCCACATATAAAAAGTTATTTTATTTTTTTTTATTTTATCTTTTCGAGCTAACCCAAAATCTAACCCCAAAAAAAATATTTCACAACTTATTAAAATCAACATAATAAATATCCCCTTTAATGTCCCCTAAAGTTTAATCCCCAAATCTAACCTTGTCATAAAACAATATAATTGTAACTTTAAGTTGATCAAAGTCCTTGCCATGCTAAGAAACTCCTAGAGAATAAAGAGTTTGTTCTTATTAGGGATTAAAAATATTAAACCGGCAAAAGACACCAACTCGAACCGGCCATTGAATAAAGAAAAAACCGGATTAAACCGTTCAAAAGAAGGTGGTTAGGGTAGTTTTGAAAGGAGTATAAAAGCAATAGAAGAAGCCAGTCAGCAGTTTTAGGGCTGAAAAAGAAGATACAAAGCCGAACATCAGGGCTCCCTTCTCTTACTCTTCAAGGTTTTCTTCATTTTCTCTTTTTTTTTTTTTTTTTTTTTTTTTTTTTTTTTAAACCCAGATTCAAACTTTTCTCCTTCAATTTTCCTCTGTTATTGTTTAATTTAATTAATTTTTTTGAATTTTTTGTGGATTAATTTTGGTTTTTTATAATTAAAATAAATTAACTTTTTTGTTGCAGAAAAAAAAAACAGAGAAAATGGAACAATACGTAAAGGTTGAGAAGCCGAAAGTGGAAACTCCGATTGATGAAAATGAGATTCGCATTACTAGTCAAGGCAGGATGCGCAGCTATATCACTTACGCCATGACTCTTCTTCAGGTTTTTTTTTTTTTTCATAATTAATTAGCAATTTTAAAAAAATTTAGGTGTTTTTTTTGGATGAATTTGTACATTTGGTTGATACTTTGTTGTTTATTGTAATTAATTATTGTACTAGGTTAATTTTATATAATTAAGTGAATTATCTATTAGGTGCTTGTTTGAATTTTATTTTGTAAAAAGGTCTTATTTTTTAATTTTTTCCTTTTTCCTTTTTCCCAAATTGATGCTTTAATGTTGAGGTTTTGGGATAAATGGTGGTGTTGTGAATTGGCCTCAACTTTAGACTACCTCGCCCAGCAGTTAATAGTCGTGTTGATAGTGTAATTTGAACTAATAATGTGACCACTAAAGTTGGATTGATGGAGGAGTTGTAATTTATCTGAAGTTCTTGTTGTGAAAGAGAAAACATGAATTCACTGAGATTTTTAATAATAATTTGTTGATAATTTCTCTTACCATTCTGATTACACTGGTAAGTGCAGCTCGGAAAATCCAATCATATCCCGTCACTAGTTTAGGATATTCGACTACTTTTTGTTGGGTAGCACTGTTATTTATGAACAAAGGGAGTAGAAAACACATTTGATTTCTGGGTGCTGTGCAATATGAAGGAAGAAAATGTCTGTTGGAAGTTTGGGCCACAACTTGGGTGCAGGACAACTTGGCTGAGGTAGGAATCAGTGAGGAGAGAAGTGAAGAGTAAAACTTGTGTAAACGGAAGAGCCAGGAGGGATTGAGCGTAACATATGCAAATAAGGTGAGGTGAGAAAGTGGAGTGCT